CATTTCCTTAAAAAAGGGATTAAAATTTAAAAATATATCTTTATCTGAATGGAAACTTCATGTGCAAGCAAGGCAGAGTTGGGGCCTGGAGCCCTTTTGGTGTCAGGAATGGCAATCAGTAGATCTGACCACAGCATTTTTATTTTTTATATTTCATTCTTCAAGTCATTTGGAAGTAGAAAGTACAGGTGTGGACTCTTAATTACAAATCTCTCCCCACTCCATACACTCATCACACACATTTCTGCATTTCCAGGTCACTCTAAAAGACAGGCTGGTCTACCATGATTCAATTAGAAAAGTAAAATGCAGGTTTTAGTACTGGTCTAGAATTCCTTTTAATCACCAAGCAGACAGAGTATCTATATTAGATATCTGTCTGGTTTAGGTTTTTATCTTCTATTCCCACATTATTGAGGTTTAAACAAGCTTTAGAGCATTTATTCCCTCAGCCTCCCCTCCTCCCTACTCCCTCTGGGGAAGTAAGGCTATCTCTGACCCCTTTAGAGATAACACCTCAGGTTCAAAGGCACTTTGTTTCTTGCCTCTAGGCAATAAGAAAATACTTGAAAGGGCAAGAACTAAATTGATAATTGAGTTATTAAATACCGTGGAGTGATTTTCAACCTTTTCTAATACATACCACTTTTCAAGTGTCTCTACAGAGATACAGATCTCTGCTTAGCGACTTTAAACTTAATGACAAGAGGCTTCCTTTTCCTAGTTACCATTCACAGACTCTTTAGAGTGCAAAATCACAGGTTAAACACCTCTGCCCTACAACTTCAGCAGAGATTCTTCAGGCCCAAGGAATCTGCTTCAGAAATTGCCCACCTGAATTACCTGCAGGCTTACCAGCTATCTCCATCTTGTGAGCTTGTCCCCAGCTGCTGAAATAGGCTAGGTTTCAGCTTTGCTCAGCTGCCTGAGAGTTTTACTATCAGCCAGGCAATAAAAAACCACTGTGAGCCAACAACACTAGTCTCACAGTCTCTGGAGGCTAGAATTTATGTATTTAATTATCTCCCACTTGTCCTCCACAGACCGTTTGATCCCCCAGTACTGGGTGCCAGTCACGGCACTGATATACTGACTAATAAACCTCTGTGGTATCTGCCTCTTGGCTAGAGAGCAGCAAACAATTCAGAGTGAATAATGTATCTGATAAATCATTCTTCTTTTGCTGGTCATATATTGTATATGTATTTTCTCAAAGGTTTGGTTATTCCTAACTATTTGCCAAATATATTCTGCAAATTAGTTTTGCTCTGTAGACTATTCCCAAGAAATTCTTCCTTGTGATTCTTAACACCCCAGCTGCGCTGCTTTATTTTGGTTTTGGCACCACAACTGTAGTAAGAAATAGTCCATCTTCCCTGGCTGGCTGGCACAGTGGCTCTTCTCGTTTGTGTGCACTTTGTCCCAGGGTAACTCCTGGGGGACCATTTTCATCATGAGGACCCCAATGAGTTAAGCCACATACAAAGATTGTGCTTTCACAGCATCCCGTGGTGAGCACAAGTGACCTACAGTTAAAAGGATAATACCTGTGTCCCAAAGAGATTACAGATGACATGTCAGAAGGAGGTCAGCAATGAAAGCAAAGCATCAGTCTGTACTTGGGGACACGGAGTGGTGGATGGAAGAAAGAGCCGTTATAGACCACAGCTGCATTTGAAGTGCTCTGTCTAAGCTGTGGTGATTCCACCACCCAAGTCCTCCGCCCACCCCTTGAAGCCAGAGACACTCAGAGATCCTCCAGCCCTGCTAGAGCACGTGGCCTCAGCACTGGGTCTGCAAACATGCCAACACTCAGAAGTGTCTCTCACACCAGGAGAGAGGATTCATTGCACTGAACCAACCAGGCTGTTGGTGACACACCTTGAACAAGGAGCTCTCCCATTCCCTGGGGACTCAGTGTGAGAGAGGCATTCTTCCAAGCAAGGATTCATGCCAGAGGTGGGACAACTTGATTTCTGCAAGAATCTCATGTCCTGAAGAGGCCTACAATTGTAACGTGGGTGCTCAGGGCTACAGGATGCCAATCTGTCTCCAAGTATGCACCCTTTCCTCTTCCACGTCAGTGTTTCTGCATTTGGATCTAGGGGGTTTTTGGGTCTAGGCATACAACTTCCCCTCCCCGCCCCCCTTACAAAACCAGTGTTAAAATCTTATTTGACCATCAGTCAAATGCCTCTGCCTCAGAGTGAGCAATTGTGTGCAACCTGGGAGTGCTAAGCACACAGCTTTTAAACTAATAAGCCATTAAGTCAAGTATTTTCTAGAAATGTTTGTTAGAAAAAGTCACTTGCAAGTATGTAACAAGTATACCCAAAGGGACAGTATCTTTTGTCCCCTTTAGAGCAACAGCTGAAGGACTAACTCCCCAAAACATAAACTTTCTCAGATCCATCTTTCAAAACATTATCACATGAATGACACTAATGAGATATTTATGTGGTGAAAGTGAGACTCATTAGAATTGAAAAAAAAAAAAAAAGTCGTTAGCAAGTAGGACAATACTAATTTTAAATACTGAGGTTGTTGATTAAAAGAAGTGTTATTTTCATGGGATCAAAACACACGATCATGGAAAAGTTAGCAGATTTTAATTTGTATGGAACAGGAAGATCTGTTTATATAAAGAAAGAGAAAAATGGACACTGCAAGAGCTAAATACTTGAAATGCTGTCAAAACCATACAGCAGAGTAGGTAAAGCTAGACCTAAACAGCCACCACTCTGGACATACTTTCAAGTAGTATTTGCATTAAGCTGATAATGCCAGGCTTTATATTGCAAAATGGCACCGATTTGTGTTCAGACAAATCCATAGGCAAACAAGGCCCGCCTGTTTCCTAACAAAATACACTATCGGAACTGTCAGCAACTTCATCCCCAAGCTGAGAAACAAAGCAGACCACTGCAAAGCAGTGGATATAAATTAATTTTGAATAGCTGAGAACATTTCTGGAATTGAATAAAACAGGCTGCTTTCTCGTGACTCATTTTTGCCTGAACTATTGCAGTTTCCACATCCTCGTCACCCTCCCACCGTGCGTGCTCGCCAGGCAGTGTGGGCTGAAGAGCACGATTGCATCTCTGCTTTCAGCTGCAGAGAGCCCTCCCAGCAGCCGCCGGAGCACCACCGCGCTTTCGGTTCTGTAAAGAGACCAGCATCGCCACGGCTCCGGTGCTCTGACAGCCCAGGATTTCACAACAGGGATGAAGAACGCCTCCCAGATGAAGCAGCACTGCCTTCGTAGTAGTCTTCATAGCCTGACTGAGGACTGAAGTCCTGTAGTTTATAAACCTAAGGGTGATTTGAACCTTCTCCTCCTGAGATTAATAAAAACTAAAGCAAAGAGTAAAGTGGCAGCAGGACCCAGCAGTAAGCCACGTTTGTCAGCAGTCCACCTCCAGTGAGGACAACTAGAGAGTTATTTAAAGCTGTGATCACAGATAATTACTGTGCTGAGCAATGAGAGTAAATCCGATGCTTATTCTTCTCACTCTTACATCACGCACTTTTAATTACCTTTCAGAAATGGAATACTATAAAAAAAACCAAAGCTCGCTCTTTCCTGCAAACATCTGAAAAGATCAGGCACCTCAGCTCTATTTAGAGCCCAATGGGACCTCAGGGTCTAGTTTTTCTCAGCAATTTTGAAAATCCCAGCCTAAATATTATGGGATGTATCTCTGGCACTGCTGGCTGCCAGAGAGCTAACACAGAGATACATTTAGAGCAACAGCGGTTTATATCAGCTGAGGATTTACACACACACACTGGCATATTTAACAAACATCTGACAGATTTGTCACAGCACTAATGATCCTCAAACACCTGAAAGAAGGAAAAGGTGTAAAGATTCTTGTAACCCAAGTAATATATAATTCTTCTACAAGGAGTAATATACATCATGGCACAAACTTAACTTTGATCTAGAAGAAATAATAATCTTTCCTCAGTAGTCTCCAGAGTCACAAACACTGTCATATTTTAAAGACATTTCATGTCACTGTATTTTTCCCCCTGCTATTTCCCCTTTGAATTCGTAGATCAGGGCTCAGTAGCTGTCTTGCTAAAGGTTGATTCAGAAAACAGGAGAAGCAGGTTATCAACTTCCTGAAGGAAAATGTATCCGATTCTTTGACAGGGGACTGCTGCTAAACCACAGCCCAACGGAGTCTCCAGTGACAATGTTTGGGCTCAATGAGCACAACATAAACAACAATGCTTGCACAACCTATACTCCCTATTTAAAAAAAAATAATATTGAATTTCTTTAATCACTTTTTAACTTCCTGCATGCACCCAGGTCATGTTTCAATAGTCACATAAGGAACCTTAAACCCACACTACTTAACAAACTTCAGGGACAGGATCTCAACAGTGCCAATTCGGTGAACATTTTGGGGCTGTGAAAGCTGATATCACGTGTTGAGTGCCAGCAACACTCCCAACAGACGCTCTCCCTATTTTCACCAACTGCCCCTTATCTCCAACCCTTGTGGTGAGCACCATGGCAGGGATATTTTTACTTCTTTTTTCCTGCCTTACATGAAGGAGTTCCCCATGCTGGCCAGCTGCTCACAAAACAGTTTATCAGGCCTTATTTTGTCACCCAGGGCCTTCGCCCTTGGATCCTCCCACCCCCCTGCAGCACAGGCACCAAGCAGGAGACAAGGCGGGGGCTCTCTCTGGAGAGAAGCGCGCGGATGTGCTGATCTGTGTGTGTCACCAGCAACCAGCCGGGTGCTGCTGGAGCCCTCCCCCAGCAGGCCACCAATTTCTATTTCCTTTTCATTGTAATTCAAATCCTTGAAATTTTAAGGAACATAATATCTTTGATGCCTCTATCTCTCTGACAAATTTAATGGAAAGCAGAAAATGAGTTCCAAAAATTATTAGGAGCCAAAACGTATAGACACACTTCATAGTCATGACCATCTTGCTGCATTATCAAATAAAAGTAACAAACTTTGCAAAAACCTTACCAAAATCCTGGCAATTCTGGAAAAAAAAGAGCAGGTACAAGTCTATGGCAATTTCATGGAAGTCCCGTGATGGGTTTTCAGGACGGCAAGCGCAGTTCAGCCGGGCCTGCGCTGGGCGTGAGGACAGCGGCTCAGCAGGGCTGGCGGCACGAGCAAGGCTGGCGCGAAGAGAAACCGGCGGCTTCCTCCTTACACATGTCAGAGGCAGCACGGGATTTCCTCTCTGCCTCCTACGGCGTGGTAGGAGTGAAAAAGGGGATGATAATCTAAAGATGTATCAGCCCAGAAGAAAAAAAAAAAAAAAAAGAGAAAAAAGAAAACCAGCACGGCATGCTGCCACTGTTTGAAAGGTAGGTAAGATTTAAATAGCAATAATCCCCAGAAACTATCTAGTTCGGGTCATCAACTAACAAGCTGGTTAATTCCTGTAAGGATTAATGCTCGAAATTATAATGCCTGACAGACGTTTGCTGAACAGGAATTAGTCCAGAATATGCAGCATGAAAACTAACAAGAAGTAGAATTGCAGACAGGTACGTGTCAGAACTGAGTTTTTCAGAAATCATTAGCTCAACCTCTAACGTTAAAATTTTCCTTTCTACCCAGCATATCTTCCACTTCTTTTTTCCTGTCAGCTCTCTAGCAGGAGATTCCCTTCACAGACTGGCACACTAATCTAGATTCTGTTCTCAGTTACAACTGTGCAATGTGAAAAAGAGGTTAGCCGATATTTTTGGGCAATACCACTGCTGCACAATCTGGCTGAATGGAATACACTTTGTAGGCGTTAGCTCTCTCTAAAAATGGAACACATGATTAAGTCTCCATTCCTGATTCCTCCAAACTATTGGAAAATATAAGGCAGCATTCTCCCTTAATTAATTATGATCCTGCTGGGTACATCTGCTGTTAGACATACAATGAAACCCACTGGTTTGGTCTACCCACCCACTGCCATTTGCATCACCCTAATGGTGTAAATCTAGTTAATACACTCCAGAAACAAACCAGATCCCACTTATACTCAGGCTTGTGTAAATCTAAAGCCAGTCCATACGGCCAACAATCTCTCTCAAGTTTTACAATTGCTGTGTATCACAACTTGTACTACGCTGAGCAGCATTTCTAGGATTACAATAAAAGTAAGGAGGAAGGTGAAGAAATCAGTGAAAACAAAACGTGGGGGAAAAAGTTAGTTCAAATTCTATTTCCAAATTAGAATTTATGGATACAAACAGGAATAAAACTATGAACCTCTTCACCCATTTCAGAATCAGGCAGCTTAAGCGAACAGCATGGGGAAAAACTGAAGAGAGGAACAGAGATGGGATGAAAATCTAGGTGGAAGGACAGCAATGTAATGGAAACTGTTGATCAAGCTAACCCTGTGAAGCTGCTAATACAGAGGATTCACTGCAGACCAGTAGCCTTAGCTAGGCTGTGACTCCCACGTGCAGTAGTGACCCGATGCAGCCAACTGAACACACAATTTTGCCATCTATCATGAAAAAATCCAAGGGACAGAAGAGGAGGAACATCTCAGGAGTTAGTAATGCCACCAGTACTTCTAAGAGAGGGAACTGATATACCAGCTATTTTCCAACTGTCTTGTTAGCCTTTTGCAAACAGGAATAATCCTTAGAAAAGTTAAGAACATCTCAAAAGACATCAGCCTACAGAATAAACTATATGATGCCTAGGGGAATGCAAACTGGAGAATGCTCCATTTATATGAAAGTCAAATCAGGGTTGTTTTAGGATTGTGTTGCTGTTTGAACAGTAGAGTTTAAAATGTCTATAAATTAACCCCTTAATGCGCTTTTTCCCTGTTCTCTCTCTCCTGTGGTAAAACCCATAGTTACTGTAAATTTGCCATAGTCCTGTTTAAAAAATAATTTAAAAAAAAGAGTGAAACTACTAGAACTGAGGAAGCAGAGTATATATGGCTAACAACAGCTACACACGGCAACTTCTAAAACACAGCAAGAAGTGGTCCCTTTGGATGACTAGCCTAGAAAGCAAAGGAGCCCAGCAGCTACCCTGGTGAGCACAGCCAGCCACAACCTGGAGGCAGCAATGAAAGAATCAAACTAACAGTCAGAAATGCAGCATTCCACATAAAACTTTCTGTCAGTTATTATCACAACGTATTTTAAATATATAAATCCTAGATTGCCACTTGAGCATAATTCCCTTTAGACCAAATTTGGTTTTACATTTTTCCATATTTTAAAAGGAAACTGCAGCTTCAGCAAAATATTCCAAATGTTCCCACAGCATCTGACCTGCCATTCCCTTCTTTCCCATACAAAGCAGCCTATTCTCAGTTTCAGCGAAGAATGGAACAGTATTTTTCCCACTCTTCAGGCCAACTATCATTTCTGTTGTAGTGGTGGAAAGCATTTGAATGGCCCCTTCTTTAGCCTAACATTTCTGTGTTCAAATACAGATTGAATTACATCTGTAAGAAAAACAGTTGGATGATCTTAGATTACCTGGCAGTCTGTAGGCACTGCAAAGGAAAAGTCTTTCTGCAAACCCGGCGTAGACCATGGAGTTAAATGACTACATTACCCCACCGATTAACCTACTGTACGTAAGTGATCCTCTGGACAGACTGGCCTTGCTGCTCACTAATTGTCTGCATCCTTGAACAGCCAGTAATGTACCAGACCACTAATGGTTTAGGAGACAGAAGTTGCCACCCTAGTAGGGTTACAGGGATTATAAATTATAAAGCCAAGTCTGAGCTCTGACAAAGAGCTATGAAACCCTTAGATAGGAAACAGAGCAGCAGTATAAAAATTTTTCTTTCAAGAAGACCATTATGACTGTGTTACATACTCTTACTACTCGGCAGAGATTCAGGTCCTAGCTGTGAACCAGCCCTCCACCATGCTGCACGTAGCTCATGTAGAGGAGCACTGGCATCCCCAATCCACTGAGGTTACTGCCGAGGCAGGACAGAAGAGGCAGAGTATGGATACAGACAGAGGGGACACACATAGGAGAAATGAGGCAGTATTAGTCAGCATGAAAAGCCACAGGCAGAGCAGCAGCTGCCTAACCACGGTCAAATTTCCATAGACATTTCAGCAAAAGAGTTTTAAGGAGGAATCTGAGAGATGGACATGATGTGGGTTTGGGAAGGATTACATGTGAGGTCAGGACTGGGAGGAAAAGGATGAAAGCGCTCAGGTAGAAGTCTACCAAGCGTTAGTGCAGGTTGATATCACAGGCTGGCCACAGGGTGGAAGCTGCTCTCTTAGAAGCAAACAAAATGCAGCTTGGGGATGCATGGGAATAAAAATTTCCATCTTCTGGGAAAGATCATATTTCTAACTATACTATAATTCTGAATTAGAATAACATTGCTATAAAGGGACTGTCCATGTAATTGCTACTCCCCAAAGAATCTGGTTTGGAACTGCTGTGAAAGGACTTTTCAGAAAAGGAACACCCACACCAAGCATTCAAGTTGTCCTAAGTACTGGGCTTGGAGGCACTGGCAGGGGTGTCACAGACTTGGCACAGTCAAGTTCTTGGTCTCTCTTTCTGGTACAATTTCACTCTGTGTAAATAATGAATCATTATGCAGAACCTAATCATTAGGCACAGCTTAATGATGCAGGTGTCCTACCTGCAAGCTGAGCATCTGAAAGATCAGGCCAAGGTAGTCATTATGCTCTGTCCCATTCAACAAGAAAAAAACATATTTCAATTTTACCAGTTAACATTAAAAGAAGAAAAAAAAAAAATCAAGAAAACCCAACCCACACACAAAACCAAACCCTGAAAAATGTCGGATCTGATTTGAGCAAGACTAAAGATGTTGAGCAACCCAAGATGTGGGTTAGCTGCTGGTATAGGTGCTTAACTGAAAAAAGCATCTATTTGCAAATCCCCAAACTAAGGTGTAACCTGCTAGTAGCAATAACCTAAAAGCACTTCACAAATACCAGAGTGATACATGACATGGGAAGGGCACACTATAGAAAACAATTACACGTGCAGCACCGAAACAGCCTGTTAACAGCCAGAAAAATTCCTCAGCATTGACTAATTGCAACTATTCAACACCAGCCAGGCTTTAAAAAAAAAAAAAAGAAAAAAATAAAAGGGTGTGACATTTAAAGTACTGGGATTAAATGTGTTCATATAATTACTTACAAAAATGTTTTTTATAAACACCTTCAGCTCTTTCATCAGATACCAAATGCTGCTTTGCTCTGCAGACCAGAATGACAGTACCACAGCCCTCCTCCATCATTATGTATTCTCACAATTGTTTTCTGGACAAGTAAATAGCTGAGGGGAGAAATAAAGTAATGCTAAAGGCAAGAATAGCTGTAGTGTTGCTGGTAGCCCCTAGGTAACTGCCATCAGGTGGTTATGGTGTACAAGCATCATGACAAGGGATGCCTCCAAGGGCATGTCTGAAGAAGGGGTAATTTGCAAATGTACAGATGTTCCTACCCGTCTTCTACAGCACTGGAGAAGGTACACAGTGTTGCAGGCAAAACAGGGATGTGGGCAGTGAGGTCTGGGCTGATGGGCAGTGATGCAAGCCAGCCATATTGCGGACAGCTGGAGGTGGCACAGCTATGACTGCCTCACACATCTTAGGTGCAGGCCACTGCCAGGCAACACCAGGGACACGCTCCTGCTCCCTCACCTCCCTGAAGTAACCACCTCTCACTGCTTTACCATCATTCTCTTTCTTCCTTCTTCTTTGTCTCCCTAATTATTAATTCATTGATTCTACGCTTATCCATGAGCTTCTCTCAGGGCAGGGAACAATCATTTTGGTGATCTCCCCAATGGCACCATTTTTCTAGACGAGAGCCTTTAGTTCTGGACCAAGAACTCAGTGCCAATGGCATTGCCTTCCAACTGAAGTGCTTCAGAGCAGCAGTAGTCATACCTGGGGTTGGACTTTGGAAAAGCCTGGGTAAAGAAATTAATTCTACACTGAAAGTGTCTTAAAAAAAATAGTAACTAGGGAACAAGGATGCA